GATAGATAGTCATAATTTACACTATTTGTTGTTGGACTTTAGTCTTAATTTCTAATATTATTCTAACAACGTTTCGGTCTTCTTCAGGCGTCTGCTGATCTGGGTAACCAATAGGGAAATGAACCCTGTTTTATTTATGTCGAATCCGACAATTGCTTTTTAATTCAGCTAACCCCAATCAAGGCAGTAAAGCTAAAATAGAAAGGGTGGAGAAGAATTAGAAAACAGGTACAATTGCTAAGGAGCGAGAACAAAAGAAGTGTAATCAGGAGAGCAGTAGATAGCGATTGACATTGCACTTAATTTTTTGAAGATTAAATCTGACTGGAAAGCATGGAACCGGATGAGATTTCCACAAGTAAGAAGTGCAAGAAAAGAAACTGTTAGCATAGAACTTACGGTTACATCTAACCGACTCGACTGTAAATTAATGAGACCTCAACGCTAGTCTAGTACTGGGCTTAAATTACAAAAAGTCTAGGTACCATAGCGAAGAGTGATATTTATTTCCGCGTATTTACAGAAAATGTGAAACAAGGCCAAAATGAGGAATGGGGGGGGGAGGACAGTCTTTTTCTGTATAAATATTAAACAAACAAAAAAAAGCCACAAACACTGACCCAAACATATCACCATATTCCTTATACCAAAACATCGCATTCTTATTTACCTTTCTTACTAAATTCACCATAATACCTCAAGTTCTAACTAGTCCCTATATGTCCAATTCATTGTCTGTGGCGTGGGGGGTGGTAAAATAACAATTTTAAAAAATCTAAACCCCAATGAATATTAACAAAGATGAACAAAACTATTTACAAGAAACTAAACAAAATAATATTAGTACTAGACCCCCCTCCCAATTCTTAAATGCGGCAGAATTATGAGTTAACTGGGCGAAATCAATGCGGGACTGTAATACTAGAAAACATTAAGTCATTCCAGATCCTCAAACACACAGTCATTCAAACAAAATAACTAATACGAAAATCACACATGAAACGAAAGGCTCCCCGCATCCACTAGAGAACTGACGTCTCTGCTCAATTAAACGGTGGAGGGAACAGGAATTAAACTAAAGAAAAAGGGAAGCAGAAATAAAAGGGGCCAATGAGCATACGTCCCCTAGTTAAGTAAACTGGAATGAAGGAAACTAAGGACAAACGGAAATCTTTTACAAGCTTAAATCTGGGCGGGGTTAACCAAGGTTCAACACAGAGAGAACAATATCCTGATGCCTAACCGGCATCAAAATGCCACTCCAAGTCAGTTCCTTCCACTCGACACAAACGCGCAAGATTCACCCTGATAGCTATAATCTCCAACTATTCAAATGTAAATCAATCATCTCCAGATGCCTTGATCTATTCCCCTCCTTCTCTTCCTCTTTTCCTCTTTCACGTCTCTTTACTCTCGATCCCACTCTCTGTAACCCCTTTGCGTGCTAGTGGCATCCTGCCTTGCTTGGGATGAAATGCTTAAAAAAAAAACCTTTTGCCAAATTCTGATGAAGGCAGCCGTCACTTTTTCGTCCTAATCTTGACTTTGAACTGATGCTTAAAGTACAAGGTCAATTGGGAAAAGTGAATTTCTCGCCCCCATAGAATCCCTTCTGACGTGTCGTCCAAATCACGACTCTCGTAACCCCTAGCACGCAAAAGAACACATAGTGTTCAGCCTTAGTCAACGGTGGTACCACATTGCTAGACAGAACTGGCCTCAAGAACTTCCTGATCAGCATGCGAACCATGATGCTATCAACAAACTTGCACAACGGCACTACGACCCTGCAATGAAAGAAGGCGTGACCAAAGGTCTCGACCTCTCCATCATAGTGTACGCAGTTTAGAGATTTCTCCAAGCCCGCCGAACAAAGTCTTTTGCCAAACTAGAGGGCCCTGCAAATCAGCAGCCAGGTGAGTGGTGCCTCATCGTTATTGAGGCATTTCAACCCGGGCGCCCAAGGGCATATTGAGCGAGCCTCCTGCTTCGCAAGACTGAGCTCATCATAAGAACTGTTTCAGAGCAATACGACATTCACGATAGAAGGAGCACTCGCCTCGGGGTAAACGGTGGGCCTCCTCCGCACATCCGATTCGCGACACATTCGATCGAGAGATGCAAACGAATCTCAACGCTAGGCATATCCCGACCGGCTGCAGAAGGGCGGAGGTAACAGATCGCCCGGAGTACCTTAGAGGCGTCGCCTCCCCACACGAAGGAGAACAATAGTAATAATACTAATAATAGTGTGGTAGACGGAAGTGGAAGCACGGAGAGTTGGTAAAGAGAATCGGGTAGATGTGCGAGGCATATACATTCGCCTTCCCTTTTAAGGAAAGATTCCTCCGAGAACAGAGACGAACTGATGGGCCACCCTATCGAAGGCCTTGAACTGATCTAAATTGATCAGCACGGCTTCACTCTCGATTGCTCGGTAATCGACTGTACCATATAAAGGTTGTCCTGAATAGTTCTGACCCTCACAGCACAAGTCTGTTCGACGCCAATCAGACTAGAGAAGGTAGCCCGCAAACGGTTCGTTAAGACCTTGGTCAAATTCTTTAACTCTGCATTTAACATAAAGGACGAAATTCATCTAACCCATACCCACCGTTCTTGTCTTTGCGTAGCAACGTGATCACACACCCATGGTGAAGCGTTGAGGTATATAGACCCTGCTTCAACCAGTTGTTGAAAAATCAGAACCAGCCAAGGAACAAAAATGGGTGACTGCCTCAAGTACACATCGTAAGGTTGATCATCTAATCCTGGAGATTTGTCCAGGCCAACCTGCTTCAGCGCTTCCCAATTTTCCAACTCTGTAATGGGACCCTCGCACCCAGCCGCTTCAGCCGCCTCGAGGCGGGGTAAAGTTGGTCAAATAGGCGTTGAACTGAGCATGTCTCAGACCGGGCTCCATGTTGAAGCGATTCTGAAAGTATTCACGAAAAGCCTCGCACATGCCCGCGTTTGTGGTCACAGTCGGCGGCCATATTCGTTGCCTCAGAGGACATTCTCTTTAACCTAATCCTAACTACCAGAGCTTGATTCTTTTTGATGAACAAGGAAGCCAACTCTGACCCAGCTAATGCTACGTACCCACTATCACGGGATTTAATCGCACTATTAACTTTTTGCTCACAAGTCGTTTGCGCCGCTAATCTATCTACATTATTATCGGCAGGTACCAATCATAGTGAAGAGATCATCCGAACAATTACAATGAAAGTATTTATAGAAAAGGCTCGGAGAGGCAACCTTATGGCAGTGGGGTAAGTGACTGAAGCCGAGCTGCCAGATCAGGTCCAATGATATTGCTGATTCTTTACAGCTTTATCTAGCCAGTTCAACTGTAAATTGATGAGATCTTGACACCAGTCTAGGACTGTGCTTAAATTCATAAAGTCTAGGTACCGTAGTGAAGAACTCATTTGAACAATTACCATGAATTTTTTATAGAAAAGGTACAGAGAGGCAACCTTATGGCAGTAGGTAAGTGACTGAATCCGAGCTGCCAGATCAGGATCAATGATATTGCTGATTCTTCTTTGGATTTTATCAAGGAGCCCTAGGTAAATAGCAGTGGCACTGAACCATATGTGGCAGCAATCTAAGAATGGACGAATGGTAGACATAGATATGCAAGATAGATTATGTAGTGAAAATTTGTCTAGTACGAGAATGAACCAATTTTCTTAGCAGCTGACCTAGCAAAGGATTCAATATAGTCTTTCAATTTGATGTCAGCTAAGAACGTTAGCTCGAGAAGGCGTAACGTGTGAATCTGTTGGAGGTTAGCATCAGCCATGATGCATGGAAAGCAGAAAGGGGTCTCTCAGGTGATTAATAGAGAGCAGTTTAGTTTTGGAGGTGTTTTTTAAACGTTCTAAAAATGCACTACTGATGTATTTTGAGACCATGGCGTAGTTGATATATGTCTTGCTTATCTAATAGTCGCAAGTTCAGTCTCAGAGTTGTTTTGTCCCCCTGTTAAAGTTAAATAACGCATACTTCTTACGCATGCATTGAATATAAAATGTCTCAATGATGCAAAAATACATCCGCCGTAACACAACGTCCCTCTATCATGAATTTTCATGGCAATTGTTCGATGAACCTACCCCTTTGGTATATCAATTTCATGAATTTACGCGTTTTTCTAGATTAGTAGTTAGGTCTCATCAGTTTAATGCTGAAATTGCTAGTTCGAACTGTAAATTCTACTCTAAAGGTTTCTTCTCTTTCCCTCGCAGAACACACTTTACTGCTTCTTGCTCTTCTGTTAACTACGAACTTCAAAACTACTGTCTTTCCGAGTCCTTCATTTGCCCTTTCTTCTCAATAACATTGTTACAGTTTCTTCTGCACTCCCTTGCATCTTAGTGGCTTTATCACTTTTCTAGGGATTAAATAATTTAAAAAGAAACCTTTTTTTTTTTACTTTTTTTAACGAACTTTGATGGGTCCCTAGAAACGAGGTTCATATAATAATTTCCATGCACGGATAGCCAGAAATCGCCGGTGAGGCTAGAGATGTAAGTTGAAAATAATTTCTGACAAGAGAAAAGACTGTTTTCAGAAAGCGTCTTTTTATCGTGGTCTCTGATCAATGGGGGGGGGGGGGCTAAATTAAGACCGACAGGATAAAGGAAAAGGAACGGTATTTTCTGGACACTTGCAGAATGAAATTTTCTGAAGAATGCAAATCAACCATTCTTTGGGAGCTATTTGAAACTGCGAATGTAGTCAACGTAAAAGAACAATACGCCTGCCATTATTATAATGTTGGTTTTTCAGATGAAACTAGTTTCCCTGGAGGCTATTTTGCTTCCAAAATGATACTTTGCTTTTTTTAACAATTCGAGCGCGCAATTCACCGACGCATTAATGAATATAGAAATATGCTTTTCAGCCATTCGTGTTTACTCTTTCTCATTTTCACTCTTTCTTTTTCTCCCCCTTTCTCTATCTCCCTCTTTATATCACTTTCTCTCTAGCCCTTCTCTCTCGCTCACTTTCTTTCTATCTAGCTCCGTTCAGTATCTATCTAACTCGGTCTTTTCACTATCTATCTATCTATCTATCTATCTATCTATCTATCTATCTATCTGTTCAGCATCTATCTATCCATCTATTTATCAGTCTTTACACTATCTATCTATCTATCTGTCTATCTATCTATCTATCTATCTGTCTGTCTGTCTGTCTGTCTGTTTAGTATCTATCTATCTCAGTCAGTTCAATAGCTATCTACCTATCAGTCTGCTTTCTATCTCTCTCTACCTATCAGTCTGTTCACCATCTATCTATCCATCTATCTATATGTATGTACACTATCTATCTATCTATCTATCTATCTATCTATCTATCTATCTAAATATGTTCAGTATCTATCTATCTCTCTCTCTCTCTCTATATATATATATATATATGTGTGTGTGTGTGTGTGTGTGTGTGTGTGTGTGTGTATTCTGGACTTTATCTATTCATTCAGCGAATGATCGATTGATGTCTAAGACAGTAGCGAAGCTGTCTCCAGTGACTGCCGTCATGAAAACAAAATATTTTAAAGCAAGCTTATATACTTGCCACACACACACACACACACACACACACACACACACACACACACATGCACACGCGCAAACATAAACGCACATCTCTCTCTCTTCTCTCTCTCTCTCTCTCTCTACTACTACTACTACTACTACTACAACTACTACTACTACTACAGTATCTATATCAGGGAACGGTGCAGTAGAACACGTGCTACATTCAGAAATGTCCGCAATCATTGCAAAACTGTTCAAAGCGTGGCTCTGCATATGCAGTTCATATGCAGTCCATAATAATGTCGAAAACAACTTTGATCCTAGATGCTCTGTAAGATGGCCAACCAAATTCTGAATAAAGGCAAAGCATCAACGTCTGTCATAATAAATGGGCCCGAGGTCATCGTCAGATAAGGTAAAACTCTTCGCCACGACCTTTGACTCTAACCGAACGTTAGATGACAAAGATCTTCCCCTTCTCGACTTCCCCTGTTTCACTGAGCACAATCTCAGTAATATTTTATTACTGCCCGAGAAATGTCAGTTGATTTCAAAAGTCTAAACCCTACCCTAATACTTAAGGGTACTGGTCCAGATAAAATCAACAGTGGTTGTCCTTAAGAATATTAACCTGGAGTTATCTCCGATCTTAGCGAAATTATTTACCCACTGCTTGAAGGAGAAATCCTTCTCAAGTATGTAGAATGTGTCAAATATAAACTATCTTTTCAAGAATGAGAGTCAGTGCTCATCCCCGTTAGAATATAGACTCATTAACCCTTTTAGTGTCATTAGCCAACTTTTTAAAGTTAGAATCAACAAGAAGGTTGTTGATCATCTCAATAGCGACATCTTCTTGAGCGACAAACAATACCGGTTTCGATCGGCTCAGTCCACTGCTGATATCCTAACTACCATTACACGCTGAATTAGTGAGATACTACACAACAAATACATCTGAAGGATGATCGCATTAGATATCCGAAAGACCTTTTGGCAAGATGTAGCATAAAGGATTGCTTCACAAGTTCTATAGCTATGGAATCACTGGAAGAGTCTTTTCAATAATAAAGTCCTTCCTAACGGGTAGGTCCCTGAAGGTAGTTGTTAACGGGCAGTGTTTCGAGATCCAAGTTATCAACGTAATGTTCGCTAATCGATCAAACCCTCTTTCTACTTCAAATGATCCCCCGAAGAATATACTCCGATTAATTGTGAATATCTATGTTCATGATACAACGGTGTGTGAGTGCACCTTCAAAGCTCTAAATTGGCAGCTGATCTCTCCTCTGAGCTAGCTCTAACAGCTCACTGGGAAAAAAAACCGACTTGTTATATTCAATGTCTAAGACTAAACTAATGACGTCCCATCATCGCCGAGTGGACCCAGAACTTTCACGGATCACGATGAATAGTGTTCCCTGAGCGAGGCCCCGCGCTTTGAATCCCTATAGGGACATAAACTCAACCCAGACTTCAAGTGGAACTCGTATATATACGATCTATCACTAAAGATACTGGAAAAATGGTCAGTTCTTTGTACCGCTCCAGTAAGCACCTGACTCCTCCTGCCGTCCTCTACTTTTAGAAGAGCCAGATAAGGCCGAAAACGGAGCAATGCTGCCATACATGCACCGGAGTGGCCAATCTTCACTCCCAGTCTTGATAGAGCCCAAAAGTGTCCCTGTAGGTGATGAATTATTTTCCACCCTACAACTCCTCTCCTACAGACGAAATGTCGCAAGCCTCTCACTGCTGTATCACTAATTTCATGAAAAGTGTTCAAACGGACTACATTCTTTAGTTCCACCAGTTATAGCCTTCAGCGGCTAGGACCCGCCATGCCACGCACATTGTAGCCAACCATCCTTCGTATTCCATTGGGGATGTTCACTCGAGTGCCTTTTTCCCACAAACCGCTGCTTTGTGGAACCAACTCACAAGAGGATACTTCACTGATCATTACAATCTTAGCGTGTTGCTCTGTAACCCTCTACAACGAGTGACTCTCGGGCCTTGTACAGAATGAACATTATTCTAATATATATATATATATATATATATATATTCAAGCAGGTTTGGTTAAATAGTTTAGACGTATTACGTTTGTTTATTTTAGTTTTAATCCTTTCAAGTCCAGGAATTCATTTCTTGGTGGCTGTAGAAAATTGATTAAGAAAAATTCAAAAATTTTCTTTCAAATAATTTTTATTTTCAGAAGTACTTTAAATCTTATATGAGAGCATCTTCAAGGGTTATATATCTATGAATGTGTTTATGTGTTAACCGTTAAATTTATGTACAGCGGCCTATAGATTGAAAGTCTTATCAAACAAAACGTACTCCTCGACAGGAATCGAACCCGTATTCCTTTATCTATATGTGTGTGTGTGTGTGTGCGTGTGTGTGTGTGTGTGTGTGCGTGTGTGTGTGCAGTGAAAGAGAGAGAGAGAGAGAGAGCGTAAAAGAAGAAGGACTAAAAATAAAAGCTTGAAATAATTCGATAAAAAAAAACATTGAACTTTGACCTTTTCCGTTGACAGCCCGTAAGTGTGTTAGGCAGTTTGACATTTTTTTTTTTCCGCAATGCTTTTAATGTCTTTCAAGTTTTCCATTCAATTGTTAAAATAAACATATTTGCCGACATCACTGTTGGCTGTGATGTTATCGTTTTGGGGGGCCTGCTATCTGGAGATTTACAATTCATTTTATTCGCATAGCTAAATTAAAAAAATGAATCGATACTTTTAACGTCTGTGATTCTTTCACGTTTATATATTAAGACCTTGAATAAGTTGTCGCTGATTTTTCATGAAAAGTAATGTTTTATTTACAAGAATTAGGAAGAAACAAGTCACTGAAATTATTGTCCATCGCTAGCCATTACTTTTTCCCGTCTTTCTGGCAGGATTTGAATTCGACGTCGGAAAAACGACACGTCTTTTGAGGCTAACCACGAGTCGACCCATTTTTTGGCATCTTCATAAGAATGAAAGTGCTGCTCAGCCAGGCCACGTGCTATCGATCGGAACAAGTGATAATCGGACGGGGCAATGTCTGGTGAATACGGCGGGTGGAGTTTTTTAAGCGTTTCCAAGTAGGTTTCCACCCGTTTTGCAACATGTGGCCCAGCGTTGTCGTGTTGCAAAATCACTTTATCGTGTCGCTGCTTGTATAGCGGCCGTTTTTTCATCAATGCTCGGCTCAAACGCATCTAATAATAGTCGATAGCGATCTACCGTGATGGCTCCGGTCGGTTTGAATAACTCATATACCCAGCTGATCTTACCAAATGCAGAGCAGAGGCTTCGAACCATGGATATTCGGTTTTGCCGCGCATGGCCGGGCTTCTACACTTAGGGTTATCATAGTGTATCCACTTTTCATCGCCGGTCACGATACGATGCAAAAAACTTTTCCTTTTCTGCCGTTGAATCAGTTGTTCACACGTGACAAGATACTGTTCGATGTCTCTCGCCTTCAACTTGTAAGGCACTCAGTGTCTATGCTCTTGAATCATTTCCAATGCTTTCAAACGTTTCAAAACTGTTGTGTGATCAACTCCTAATGATTCTGCAAGTTCAGATCGCGCTTGGCATGAGTCTTCATGAAGGAATGCCTCCAATTCTTCGTCTTCAAAGCGTTCATTATCTTCAACATCAAAATCATTATGTTTGAAACGTCTAAGCCAATCTCTGAATGTTGTTTCCTACAGAGCATGGTCGCCGTAAGTCTCAACAAGAATTCTGTATGCTTCAGCTGCAGATTTCTTTTGGATGAAGTAGTGCAGTAAAATTCCCCGAAAATACACTTTCTTTGGCACGAAATCTGACATGTTTAACCCTGTGGAAAACGGACTTGTATACACTTTGGCGAAATGACATACATAGAATTTTAAGCTTGCTTATAGTACTTCCTTAGAGAAGCGTTACCATCTGAAACTACACGCACGCAGTTCTGTGAAACAGCGAGCTCATTCAAGGTCCTAATATATATATATATATATATATATATATATATATGAAAATAGATCTGCTTAGGTCTTCCAGTATATACCCACTGTTGTACATTTCATTTATTATTTCCGTAATCTTCCCTATGGCAAAATCATCTAAAGCTGTCAGTATCTCTGTTGCGATTCTGTCTGGCCCTGCTGCCTTGTTTCTGTTCAATTTGGCCAGTGCAGCTTCTATTTCGATTCTCAGAATTTAAGGCCAACTGGTAATTCTGTGTATTGCCAGTTGTTCTCTTTTGTCATTGAAGAGTTCTCCAATATATTTGTTCCAGTGCTGAAGAATTTTTTCCTTTTCTAATATGTGTGTTCCATTCTTGGATTTTATGCAACCTGTTGATGAGCAAGTCTTATGTCCTGTTAGCTCCCTTATTTATTTATGCATATCTACTTTGTTGGTGATACTCAATCTCTCTATTTCTGAACATTTTTCATTTAGCCACTCTTCTTTAGTCTGCTTGCATTTGGTCCTTATTTTGTTGTGTACTTTTCTGTATTCCATTCTGTATCTTGGCAAAGTTTTCTGTCTCCTGTCTCTTCATATCAAGAATTTAATTTGTGATCCATACTTAAAAATGAAAATCAGCATCTGCCTCTATTTGTGAGAAGAGGTATTGTAAATATTTATACTGTCCTGATCTTTATTGTCACATTCACAACGTTTTGGTCGTTGTACGCTCCGGCCTTCTTCAGTTGATATTTAAACGTATATCACCTGACGAAGTCCGGCGCGCACAACAGCTGAAATGTCGTGAATATGGCAATAAAATCAGGGCAATAGACTAATTTAAATACTGTAAATAATGTTAATCGGGAAACGAACTTTTGAATTGATCACAGACACACACACATACACACACACATTTTTTAGTTCCGAAACATAGTAATTTCTGTGTTGTGATGTTTTTAAATAATATTATGCTCTACTTTGTATCGAGCAAGTTTAAAAATAATAAATGCTAAAGAACTGTGGATTATTAATCTGATCGTTCTTCCTTTTATTTATATATATATATATATATATATATATGTGTGTGTGTGTGTGTGTGTGTGTGTGTGTGTGTGTGAGAGAGAGAGAGAGTATTCATGACAAAGTAAAAAAGCTTTCATGTGACACGTTTCATTCTTTAGGACATAATCGGAATAAATGCGCATGCGCACGAACGGGGGATGCTGAGAATTCGAAATTTTGAATTGCATATTTTTTTTTCTATTTTGTAATTTTTTGGTGGGTGGGGTGTCTATAATCATTTAGATTCTTTTTCTTTTTGTTTTCATCAATTTTGTTAGAATGATATGCAATTCTGTGCGAATAAGAGATTCTCTCAGAAATGTTTCAACAGTCTGGATGTAAATTTACTGTGGATGATCTTGTGATCAAGGAACTCTCTAAACATTTTAGCCTTACTTTTTTTTTCCACTTTGTCATACATCTTGATATATGGAAATTTATATATCGTTATCCCAGTCTATATATATATGTGTGTGTGTGTGTGTGTGTGTGTGTGTGTGTGTGTGTGTTGCGTGTGTGTATGTATTATGCACTGCTACATTAAAACATATAAATATCCACTACAAAATTGTACATCTTGTTTTAACGTTAAATCAACGTATCTTCAGGTGGCAAACAATGATCTTCGTTCACTAAGATTTGTGTGTATAATATATCTCTATCTATATAAGGCAAAAATGTGTGTGTGTAACGAATGCACGGCCGCAATTTTCCATGGATTTTCACCAAAATTTACATGCACATGCTCCAAGTTAGCGGGAAGGCCAAGATCGACTGTGCATTTCCTAACTCCCATCGATAGTGGAAATAATCGATTTTGTCATGCTTCTACGGCAGTTTTCATGTAGTTTGCTGCCATTTTCTATTGGCCAGAGTGAGAGCCTATAGCTGGCTGCCACGAATAGGCAGGAAGATTCTATTGCCCAGCGTGAGAGCCAACAGCTAACTGACACGAATGTTAACGAGCATGCTAGCATGCAAAAAATCGATAGCTGCGTTCGTCACAAGTGGGAAAAATTTAAATCTGCATGGCACTTTACTCCAATTGGTTCATTCGCTTGCTTAAACTCAATGTTGATTCTGATTCCGCAGAACTGGGTTAGGTGTGAAAAAGTATTTTTTGTTAACATTTTCTTTCATTCGGTTTTTCCAGTTACGAGCCCTTTTTTAAAGCTGATCGTTTTGTGTTCATTTTGTTTAGTTCTTTTTTTGTAACAGATTTAATGTTTAGTATACAGCATAGAAAAAATTGCAGTGTGAGATAGGCAAGAAGTAAGGCATGTAGCAACACCAGCACGGCAAAGGGCACTCCTTTAAAGGCAAGGAAGGGCAAAAATATTTTAAGTCAAGTGATAGCGATTACTGTATGAGTCGTACGATTTTTGAATCAAGCACGGGCAACACCGGGCCATGCTGCCAGTATATATATATATATATATATATATATATATATATATATATATATATATATATATAAAGGTATCAAATCCGTTGCTATATAATCCAAGTGGATCCTAATAATATAAAATATTAAAACTGATCCATAAAAAGAGCTCAGTGTATTTATTATTAGAGAGCAAATACTTAATACACAATAAAATCCAAAATTACCCCATATGAGGACTAAGCTTATTTCGCTAGACGAAACTACTGAAATGAATGAATTCTGTATTATGTTTCCTACCATTTTTTTCCTGCTATTTCCGCCACGAATTCAGTCTATACCGGGGTTAAGACAGACGCAAATAGAATTCGTCTGTCAAAATAAGATTATCCTCTCTGCCATATGAGGTGATTTGGGATTTTATTGTGAATTTTATATATATATATATATATATATATATATATATATATATATATATATATATATATATAGGGTGGGGGTTAAATATTGTATTTCGATGAAAAACATTTGAAATTGTCTGTTTTGAAGGCCAGCAGTCTTTGTAATAATTTGGAGCGATATTAAGAAACAGAACATTAAGAGGAAATATAAATTAAATTTGTTCTTTGATCTTATGTATATATTGTGATTTTTTTGTGAAATTCAAGGCGATGGAATTAAATCCAGACAGAAAGCCAAGAGTGGAGCCCCGGAGCTGTCATCATTGAACTCATGCCGACAACATCTGCAGCGAAGCCGGGCCTAAATGTAATGCATTGATTTGGATCTGGAAAGGGTCTCCCGAAAGGACGTACCATGTTGTCTGGGTAGCTTACAACCTGCACCCTGGAAAGCTTCTTACAGTCTCACCACCAAATGACTGAATTTTGACCAAACATGCCGCTACCTTTGTGCGAGAAAACGGAAAAAAAAACTTCTTGTGACACAAAAGACGAACGCCTTCTTGCGAACCAAACTTTACGACAGCAAACGAGCAAAACGGCACCCACAACTGCTGCCGACGGACGACTGACCGCAACGGCTGCTGTCGCCCAAGAAAAGACGCCAAACGTCTTTTCTTATAGTCCTCGGTCGAGTCCATTATGGTACTCCAAGGTGTGTCCAGCGACAACACACACACGCAGTTCGAGGACGTTTCCGCGCATGCTCGTTACAACCTTTATCACACGAGATAAACATATGCTGATGTATATATCACGGTCACAATCAAGAGACCCGTGACACATTAGAGGCGTAGGCTGACACCTAAAGCTAAAGAACCTAGTATGTACTGCTATTTTGCCCATAGCAGGTCAGAAGAGGAAGGATATTAGGACGTAAGTAAATGTAATGAACTCGACTAGAATTCGAACTCAGCTCTCCGATTCCTCAATCCGAGCCACTAGCCATTATTCCACCATGCCTCATATATATATATATATATATATATATATATATATATATATATATATATATATATGTGTGTGTGTGTGTGTGTGTAAGCAAATATATGGATATTGATCCGACAGTATGAAGAAAAATATACGGAAAAAACAAACAAAAATCCTAATATGCAATTATACTGTTTTAATGTTAATATAATTTCAACGTCGGATGTTTCAGTCTAATAGACCATCTTCAGGACATATTCATAAAACATAATTAACATAGACCATATTCAATTCAACATGAAAAAGACGATGGACATAAAAGCAAGACCAATCCAAACAGATAACTGAAATCTTTTATAAGATCAGCGTTCCTTTTCAATATGATCACGTCGTCGTCACGTGGGCGATGTTGTGAAAACGTATTCCTAAAATTTGAGTATTTCAGTCCTGAAGATGGTCTAAATGACCGAAACGTCCGACGTTGACATTATATTAACATTAAAACAGCATAATTGCATATTAGGATTTTTGTTTGTTTTTTCCGGATATTTTTCTTCATATATATATATATATATATATATATATATATCGGTATGGGACATTTCATCACCACAGACTCAACACCGCTGACACATTTCGGTGACAACTCAACTCCAGGTCAACTCACTACCAACCTACTTAGTGTGAGGTCAACTCAACGCTGGCGTCGAATTCATAGCTTCTAGCCGGCTGTGTTGGCTGTCTTGGTGGGCACATCTCTTAGATCGGCCTTGAGCCGTAGAGATTTTGAAAGTTTGGCTGTGATTTATTAGTTACTGTTGTGGTGTTCTCCCTCTAAAGAGTCTATGTTGGACTCTTCCGCCTACTATAAGAGTAGTAGGACAGAAGGCCTTGGGGGAACAGTGGAAAAAGATGTTGTCACCAAGTAAATGATTAAAGAAACAAAACAACATGCGTATCAAATGTAAACAAATGAAAGATTGAAGTTCAAATGCAGTAAATTCGACGTTGGTAACCGAACGCTTCTCTGTGGCCAAATCGGTTAAAGACACGTCAAGCTAAATGAAGGTTCCGTATAGGATACCGGTTCGAATCCTGTCGAAGGACAAACATTTTCTGTGAAAATTTCTCGGACAATCAGGCTGGTAAATGTTGTTTAAGACTGTTTATTATAAACAGAGCATTTACTTAAATATTTGTATCTATAAAAAGAATGAACATAAAAATGTCTTAAAATAATTATCGGACTTTGTCCATTTCATAATGTGTGACGTCATTTGTTTACATTTGATACGCCATTAGCAGATATGAATGTACGTGAGAGATTCATGGATGATTGAAGTTTAAAGACAGTAAATTCGACCTTGCTGACCGAACTCTCCTCTGTGGCCATATCGGTTAAAGGCACGTCAGCGTGAATGACGATTCCGTATAGGATGCAGGTTCGAATCCTGTCGGAGGACGAATATTTTCTATGACAATATCTCGGATATTCAGGCCGGTAAATGTTGTTTAATACTGTTTATTATAAACAGAGCGTTTACTTAAATATTTGCGTCTATAAAAGATTGTATAAACATAAAAATGTCTTAAAATATATATATATATAAATAGGGTGTAACAAAAATACTTTTACAGACTTTGAGGGCGAATTCCTCATACCAAAAGGACAAAGGTTAATATAAACATATATCGCAAATCCTTCGATTGAGTTATTATGTTTAATGAAAGTTTGCGATAGATGGCGCTGTGTTGCCATGTAGACTAGATTTCATTTGTCATTCGTGTACATTTGTTGTTAGTCTTAATGTGCGTAATCTGCGTAGTAGTGAGTTAACTGAGAAGTGTTCCGTTTAACAATGGTAGAATATTCATATCGTGATCAGGCAAATTTGATATTTACATTTGGCCGCGCAGATGGTAATGGACGCGAGGCTGTACGGTTGTATCAGATTGTGTTTCTCAGAGGGAAAAGAAAATAAGCAGAATAGGTTTCTAAAGATTACCTGACTTTATGGGACCGGTTCCTGGAAATTTGGGATGGTATTATTGACTACACCTTTCTCCAATATTTGTGAAATACGTTCCAATTTATGTAGTGTAGAAGCTTTTCTCTCTCTCTCTCTCACTCTCTCTCTCTCTCTCTCTCTCTCTCTCTCTCTCTCTCTCTCAGGACATCCTCGCGCTTTGTGAAACTAATTTATATTCTTCTGTAACTACCAATAAATTCTCTGCCCCAGGCTATTTTTCTATTTGTCGAAAAGATCTAGCATATAATTGCATGGCGTCGGTATATATATCTGGGAAAATTTTCTAATGTCAAGGGAATTGTCCCAGATGATTCTTTCATTTGCTTTCGACTTTCATTATTGCACTCTGTTCGCGATCTCTTTTTTCTTTTATCTCTCTCCTTCTTCCCAGGACTGTAATATATTGGGTAAAATTTCTGATAATATAGAAATGTGTGTCTCTCTCTCTCTCTTTCTCCCCCTTCTCTCTCTCTCTCTCTCTCTCTGTGCATCCATTTGTGAACATTCTAATACTCATGTATAAAATGACTTAAGCATTCTAATGTTAGTGATGTTGCAAGTATTTAGACTTTCAATATTTCCGTTGTTCTGTCTCTTAATCAAATAGTGGATTTCCCTACAGCTGAGCCCTTTATTTAATCTACGGGGATAGACTGTTCTCATTCCACTGCCCATGCTTAAAGATATCTCGTCTAGTTCTTATTTTTAATACAGCTCAGTTATTGCTCGCCCAGATTTCCACTGAGTCTGTGTACACACTGCCCGACCCAGGGATTGAACTCAAACCACTATGTCACTAAATTCAGCAACTAGCACTTTAGTCCATTTGAAGAAATAAACGATATCCCTAGACGTGGGTAGATCGCAGCTTAGAGAACACTGTATTACCAAGCGGTCACCCATGTAGGCACTGACCAGACTCGACGTTGCTTAACTTCGCTGGTCGTACCCGTGTTCCCGAGACTGAAATAAATCGAGAAAAGTTACTGAGGAGAAAGAATAGAATTTAATCAGATAGAATATGACGATTGAATTTTTGAGGAACTTAATTTAGGGCAAGAAACCGGAAGGGAGTTCCACAAACAAGAAGTGCGAGAGAAGAAACTGTTAGCATAGAACTTACGGTTATATATAAGCATTTAAACTGTAAAATGATGAAAGCTTGATACCAATGTAATAGTGCGCTTAAATTCGTAAAGTCTAGGTACCATAGAGGAAAACTCATCAGAACAATTAACATGAAAGTATTTATAGAAAATGCAGAGGAAGGCAACAATTGGTTGAAGCTTTTTCTTAATTTTGGTGATCGTAAGTGAACCGATGTTTCAACGTGATATGGCCGTAAGTAAATAATTGTTTTTTTGTCGAATCTTAAATAAATAGCTACATCTCAGATCCATAAATAGTTTGCCTGATTTAGGTTAACCTTCTAACGACTGAGTATTACAAACACATTCCTGGATATTTTTTTTTTTTTTTTAAATTATCTGCGCGTTAAATAATTGTTTGCGAAGAGTTGAAATTGCGTAGTGTCGATACTGTTTGCGCCCGTTAATGGGAAGCCGTCTGCGTCGATCCAATTTTCGCTTCGACTAAACAACTTCATCATTTCACAAGTGGTCTCATGAAGCAATCTAAATTTTCTTCCATTTTAACTTCCATTGTATGTCTTCACCGTGAACGGACGGTGTGACGGTGAAGTTAATGCCGACTGTTGGCTCAAGTTCAAACAAATACGCAATCATTGAAACCTTAGCAAAGGCTTTCATGTTCGATGATAAACACAAGTCTGTCACTATAAGCAATAAATAATAAAAGATATCTATAGGCCCAGCAAAAGGTAAAATTAATAATAATAAGCCGAACTCCCGCCATTTGGCTAGCGTATTACAATTGCAAGCAGCACATCGTCCATTCCTTATGGCGCAACTCAGAGATGTGGCTTTCTGCCAAAACCTGCTTCTTATTATCAAATCTAGACGAAGAGTGCGCGGGATTTTTAATGCCATTTTTTGTTGTTGTTGTTGTTGTTTTTTATAGGATTTGGAATCGTGGAAGAAACGATGGAGGGGGGAGATCAGCTTTTCACTTTCAACTGCAAAAATGACTTACAAAAAAAACACCAATCAGTAATAATTGTATTAAATCCGTAATTTTGGCATTCAATTTCTTTCTAGAGTGTAGAGAATGCCAACTCTGAAATCATTTCCAATACATTTTCCTAATAAAAATGTTTTCCAATGCATTTCTATAATAAAAATCATTTCCAATGCATTTTCATAATAAAAATCATTTCCAATGCATTTCTATAATAAAAATCATTTCCAATGCATTTTCCTAATAAAAATGATTTCCAATGCATTTCTATAATAAAAATCATTTCCAGTGCATTTTTATAAGAAAAATCATTTCCAGTGCATTTTCGTAATAAAAATCATTTCTAATGCATTTTCATAATAAAAATCATTTCCAATGCATTTTCCTAACAAAAATCATTTCCAATGCATTTTCCTAACAAAAATCATTTCCAATGCATTTTCCTAATAAAAATCATTTCCAATGCATTTTCATAATAAAAATCATTTCCAATGCATTTTCCTAATAGAAATCATTTCCAATGCATTTTTATAATAAAAATCATTTCCAATGCATTTTTATAATAAAAAATATTTCCAATACATTTTCCTAATAAAAATGATTTCCAATGCATTTCTATAATAAAAATCATTTCCAATGCATTTCTAGAATAAAAATCATTTTCAATGCAATTCTATAATAAAAATCATTTCCAATGCATTTTCCTAATAAAAATGATTTCCAATGCATTTCTATAATAAAAATCATTTCCAATGCATTTTTATAATAAAAATAATTTCCAATGCATTTCTAGAATAAAAATAATTTCCAGTGCATTTTCATAATAAAAATCATTTCCAATACATTTTCATAATAAAAATCATTTCCAATACATTTTCCTAATAAAAATCATTTCCAATGCAATTTCCTAATAAAAATCATTTCCAATGCAATTTCCTAATAAAAATCATTTCCAATGCATTTTCCTAATAAAAATGATTTCCAATGCATTCCTATAATAAAAATCATTTCCAATGCATTTCTATAATAAAATCATTTCCAATGCATTTTCCTAACAAAAATCATTTCTAATGCATTTTCATAATAAAAATCATTTCCAATACATTTTCCTAATAAAAATCATTTCCAATGCATTTTCCTAATAGAAATCATTTCCAATGCATTTCTATAATAAAAATTTCTATTTTTCAATGCATTTTATAATGAAAATCATTTCAATGCATTTCTAGAATAAAAATAATTTCCAGTGCATTTTTCTATAATAAAAATCATTTCAATGCATTTTCATAATAAAAATCATTTCCAATACATTTTCATAATAAAAATCATTTCCAATGGAATTTTTCCTAATAAAAATCATTTCCAATGCAATTTTCTAACAAAAATCATTTCCAATGCAATTTTCTAACAAAAATCATTTCCAATGCATTTCTATAATAAAAATCATTTCCAATGCATTTTCCTTATAAAAATGATTTCCAATGAATTACTATAATAAAAATCATTTCCAATACATTTTCCCAATAAAAAATCATTTCCAGTGCATTTTCATAATAAAAATCATTTCCAATACATTTTCGTAATAAAAATCATTTCCAATGCATTTTCCTAATAAAAATCATTTCCAATGCATTTTCATAATAAAAATCATTTCCAATGCATTTTCCTAATAGAAATCATTTCCAATGCATTTTTATAATAAAAATCATTTCCAATGCATTTTTATAATAAAAAATATTTCCAATACATTTTCCTAATAAAAATGATTTCCAATGCATTTCTATAATAAAAATCATTTCCAATGCATTTCTAGATTAAAAATCATTTCCAATGCATTTTTATAATAAAAATCATTTCCAATGCATTTTTATAATAAAAATAATTTCCAATGCATTTCTAGAATAAAAATAATTTCCAGTGCATTTTCATAATAAAAATCATTTCCAATACATTTTCATAATAAAAATCATTTCCAATACATTTTCCTAATAAAAATCATTTCCAATGCAATTTCCTAATAAAAATCATTTCCAATGCAATTTCCTAATAAAAATCATTTCCAATGCATTCCTATAATAAAAATCATTTCCAATGCATTTCTATAATAAAATCATTTCCAATACATTTTCCTAACAAAAATCATTTCTAATGCATTTTCATAATAAAAATCATTTCCAATGCATTTTCCTAATAAAAATCATTTCCAATGCATTTTCCTAATAGAAATCATTTCCAATGCATTTCTATAATAAAAATCATTTCCAATGCATTTTTATAATGAAAATCATTTCCAATGCATTTCTAGAATAAAAATAATTTCCAGTGCATTTTCATAATAAAAATCATTTCAATGCATTTTCATAATAAAAATCATTTCCAATACATTTTCATAATAAAAATCATTTCCAATGCAATTTCCTAATAAAAATCATTTCCAATGCAATTTTCTAACAAAAATCATTTCCAATGCAATTTTCTAACAAAAATCATTTCCAATGCATTTCTATAATAAAAATCATTTCCAATGCATTTCTATAATAAAAATCATTTCCAATGCATTTTCCTTATAAAAATGATTTCCAATGAATTACTATAATAAAAATCATTTCCAATATATTTTCCCAATAAAAAATCATTTCCAGTGCATTTTCATAATAAAAATCATTTCCTATACATTTTCATAATAAAAATCATTTCCAATCCATTTTCCTAATAAAAATCATTTCCAATGCATTTTCCTAATAAAAATAATTTCCAATTCATTTTCCTAATAAAAATCATTTCAAATGCATTTTCCCAATAAAAATCATTTCCAATAATTTTTTCTAATAAAATCATTTCCAATGAATTCCTAAGGTAAAATCATTTTGAATTCACATGAGCCATAATCAGAGTTGTTATATGAACATTACAACAGAGACGTTCCTCATCAAAGATGTGATGATGGCTCATGTGAGCCGAATACTTTAATCAAGGAACAGCATGAGAAAAAAATATCCAAATGTTGGACAGTTTTTGTCTTTATTTTCTCCTGAAATTAAAGCAACTATATGAAAGCTTAGAACGGCTCATGATCAGACATAATAGACATTCATTGTCTGTTATATTTATATGCTTGAATAATTATCTGTTGCCCCAATACATGATATATATATATATATATATATATATATATATATATATATATATATATATATATATATATATATATATATCCCTCCACCCGTTTGCTCGCATTTTAACGCCCATCACACCTTGTGGCTTAAGAATGCTACTACTGACCATGCAGGCATTCAAACGCTCAATTTTTCAATCTCCCATTCCCTCACACAGATAGTTAACTTCCCCACTCGTTTTTGCATTCAAGCGAGAAGGTAAAAAAATTTCTCTACTCGACCTGTGCT